GGGCCTGCTAGCGGTCTCGGGGGTAATCTCTGGGCGGAGGGCTCGACATGTCAGTTCGTGTTGCCCATCCTTGGCCTCTCTTGGAGCCGTCTTGGGGGCCTCTTGGGCCGTTTTGTGGCCCTCTTTGGGGTTTGTTGGGCCGTCCTGGGGCGATCATGGGGGCCTCTTAGGCAGTTGTCGAGCGTCGGATGCCCGAACAGGCGAGAACGCTGAAATCCATCAATGGTTTGGGCATTTGCGGAAGCTTCTTTGAGCGTATTGGGGGCTTTTTGGGTTGTTTTGAGTCCATCGTGGGCTCTTTGGACCCTCGTGGGCAGTCCTGGCGCTCTCTAGGACCGTTTTGGGCGTTTCTTGGGAGACTCATGCAGGTTCGTCGGGTCGTTCTGGGCGGGTTCACCGTCCCAGAGGCCGACGCGACACGCCCCAGGAGCACCCCAGAGCGCCTGGAAATTCTAGACGCTTCGCGTATCCCCACCAGTCCGTTGCCCTGACTCAAGCCTCTGGCTCAAGCCGCTCTGGCTCGAGCCGCGCGCCGCCAGGAGGCCCCTTCCTTTGCCCCCCCTTTCCATCTTACTTGTTTCCCGTCTCCCTGGCATGGCCGCGGCTCCAGCCGCGGACCCGCTGCAGGCGGCTGACCATTGGAGGAGGGTGGCCGCCGCAGGTGGGCATTGGAACACCGCTGCCGCGCTCCCGAGCGTATGCTGGCGCGCGTGGCGACCATGGGACCAGCAGGAGTGGGAGACGCCAGCTGCGCAGCGACGGCGACACCGACGTTTTGCCGCGGCTCTTCGGCCCGCGGCTCCAGCCGCGGGCGCCGCCGGTGCCGCCGGCACCGCCGGGGCCGGCGCCGCGGGCTCGGCGGCTGGCGCCGCCGCCGCAGGGGCGGCTGGCGCCGCGGCTGCCGCCGCTGCCGCTGCCCCGCCGCCGGCGTGGCGGAGGCGGCTGCCGCGGCGGCCGCTGGCCTCGCGGCTGGCGCCGCGGCCGCCGTGGCCCGCGCGGCCGCCCTCGGGCCCGCCGCCGCGGGCGCCGCCGCGACAGCAGCACCAGCCGCCGCAGCGGCACCTGCAGGAGCAGCAGCAGCGACAGCAGCGACAGCAGCAGCAACAACAGCCGCGGCAGCGACGGCAGCAGCAGCAGCAGCCGCAGCAGCAGTGCCTGCGGCAGCAGCCGCAGCTGCTGCCACTGCAGCCGCAACAGCAGCAGCAGCAGCAGCAGCCGCGGCAGCAGGGCAGCAGCAGCAGCAGCAGCAGCAGCGACAGCCGCAGCAGCAGCAGCAGCAGCAGCAGCAGCAACAAAACCCAGCAGCAGCAGCAGCAGCAGCAACCGCAGCAGCGGCAGCGACAGCGGCAGCACCCCCCACCACAGCCACAGCAGCAGCTACAGGTGCTGCAGCAACAGCACCCCGCAGCTGCCACAGCAACAACACCCCCCTCTCGGAGCCAGCAGAACCCACGAGAAGACCCAGAGGTACCCTTGCTCCCTCAGCAGCAGCAGCAGGGCAGAGAAAAGGAGAGGGAGGCCGCGGCGGAGTCGGCGGAGGCTGCGGAGGCCGCGGAGCATCGGGGCCCCGAAGCGGCGGAAGCCATTGAAGGTGCAGAAGTGGCACATGCCTTCATCCGCGTCACTGGATTAACCGGGCGGGCAGGGGGTGGCCCCCGAAAGTGTTGACGGCAGCCGCAGCGGTCAGCTAAGCGAGACCCCAGAACAGCAGGGGCTCGCCTGCCACACCGCGCCACCCTCACCTCCCCCTCAAAACAATCAGACCGTCAGCGGTTCTCTGGGGGCGCCACAGACCCAGCAGGGGGGCCGCGGACCAACCGTCCAGGCGCAGCACAGCGAAGCCATCCATTGGCTCGTCGGGAGAAACCCCTTCGCGCCGACGCGCCCCCCTTCCCCTGCCAGTGAACCCATTCTAATGGACGGCGAGCCCCCGGCGCTCTCTCCTGACGCCCAGGACACGACCGACAAAGAATCTCGCGCTCTGGCAGCGGAAACTGCGTCGCCGTACGTGCACGCGCCTGGCGCAACCAGCGATGCCTCCGAGACCGGCGAGAGTCCTCCTTTGACCGAAGGGGGCGAACGAGCGACGGCGGGCGCAGGCCCGAAGGCGAACGCCAGCGAAAGGGGCCTCTCCCCATGCACCACAGGGCAGCGTCCGCCCTGGCCCTGGCTGGCGGAGACGATCCGACCCCCGCCCGGCGGCCAACCGTGCGGCCCGCTTCTCCCCGCAGAACCCCGCCAGGCGCGCAGCCGGAACTGTCGCGGGCAGATCGCGAGCCCTCCGGCCAGGACAGCGAGGCCGGCGCGCTGGAGACCTGCGGCCAGGATACACGGCAGCACCAACGGCCTGGCCCGCGCCAATGGCCAGAGCCCACTGACCCCGACACGGGACAGCAGCTGCACAAGACAGAAATCAACAACGTCCAGTGGCGAGGAGACACCCGGCGAGGCGATATGGGAACAATGTTCACAGGCACCTGGCGCGCCTTCGCCAAGCGGCAGCCCGTGCCTGGCAGCAAAGGCGCGCTCGACCCGCTTCGGCGCGGCCCGCAAACCTGCCACCTCTTCCTGGAATCCCCCGCAGCCACAAGTGCGATGTACGGGTCGTCAGCGACGTGCTGGGCCTCGACGTCGACCGGGCTCGGCCGCGGCATCTGCGCCCGGGCCGAAGCGGCGGAGCGA